GCAGTGAAGTCTGCTGTGTGGCCTTTGGGGGAATCAAGTGAGACACGGTGGTGGGAATCTTTGTAAGGCCCACAGGGCACTGACATGAGTGGAGATTATTGTCACTGAATCTGCTTCCATGTGGTCTCATATCCACACCCCCTTGGGGGTGAATGGAGCATGCTTTCCTCCCCAGCTCATTACTATGGGGTTTGCACCCAGCACAAGGAAAGGGGAAGGCTAACCACTGTCTGCACCTCCAGGTCAGGCCTGTGCCTGACTAGGACTCATGAGGAGGAGCTCATAGTGTACCTCGTGCCCTGGGGTTACAGGTCTTCCTCTCTTCTTGTTTTCCTCTAGCACACTCTTGAGTGCAGAGAAGGGAGAGCTTCCCCTTGAAGACCGAATCTGAAACCTGGGAGGACATCGTAGGTGAAGCTTTTCTTGTCAATGTCTGCCATTTGTCCCCAATCCAACTACACCCAACTGAAGCTGGGCCATGGGATCCAATTAAAACAAGGGGCTTTTTTGGAACTTCAGAAGCAACAGGCATGAAAGCTATTCTGAAAGCAATTTCCCCAGGAATGGTAACAGATACTCTATCATCCTGAATTTTCTGATATGTTAAGCAGAGCTAACAGGGATAACCTACATGTTCTTTTTGCTTAATAAAGTCATTCACCTTTCCCTAAGTAAGATGTAGGCTCTGTGTAACTCGGGGCATGTGAGTGTTAAAATGTTAATGCTGAATATGGAGATGAAGATTATGTGCTCAATGTTAGAAGATCAGGAAAGTTCGCTGGGAGGAGAAGGAAGAGACTCTTGGGGGTGGAGTGGGGTGGGTGAGGCAGAAGGCTTCTCCCTGGCAATGGGAGCGCAGTGGTTCCTGGGCTGGGCTCTGTACCACGCTGCCCAGGACAGCAGCCCCACGCCACACATGACGAAGAAACACTCGATATGTCCCACATGGGCGCTGGATCTTACATTGTGCTTAATTTAAGTTTAAAAACTCATACTCAATTTTATGATGGGAGACTTAACCATGACTGGGATGGCTTGAATATATAAATCTACCTTTTTAACTCTGAACTTTATGAAATCTAAATACAGAGGTAATATCTCTAATTAAAATTTAGCATCCAAGTTGAGGTAAGCTGTAAGAGTTAAGTGCAAACCATGTTTAAGTAGATTCAGTACCAAAAAAGTAAAATATTGTATTTGTAATGTTTATAGTGATTGCACATTAAAGTGTTAATTTTGTGGATACATTGGGTTAAATCAAACACATTAAAATGGACTAGTTTTGCTTCTTCTTACTTGTTTAATGAAATGACTAGAAAACTTGAAATCACATGTGCCATTCATGTTATGTTTCCATTGGACAGTGCTTGTCTGGAGAGTGGACAGCAAGGGCTCAAATTCCATTTCTATAACTTTCCAGCTCAAAAATAGACTCATCCAGGATTTTTTATGAAAATGGACTAGTAATAAAATCTACTACACAGAGTTGATGTGAGAGGTGAATTAGTCCATTTAGTTAACCCAGTTAACCCATGTCAGACACTTAGAATAGTTGATAATAGTGTGCTTAGTGCTTGTGTCATATTATTATAGTTATATTATACTATTTTATTTTATATACTATGATATTATATATAATACTATTATATTACAATACTATTGTTATATCAATGTTGTATCAATTATATCAATGTTACATTATTATATTATATTAAATTATGTTGGCTGGTAGTTGTCGTGGTTTCGAGAGCAGAAAGAAGCCAGGACTGTGAAATGTCATACAGACAGTCTTCTCTCCCTTATGAAAGCCTGTATAATCTGTCCGTGTGGACAGGTTATTGTGTCATACAATATTAAATATCACGTTATATCACTATGGTGCAGAAACTGATGACGTCCTCTCAACTTTTTTGAGTCCAGACTTTCACCGTCTCTCGGACACCTTCCCCGAGGCCCCCCAGGCACAGCTAATGAACAGTGGCTTGAAGTAACATATTCCTACCCTGAGCCAGGAGTCTAGAGGCGCTTTGCCCTGGAACCACCTGCTACCCACCAAGCCATGCATCTTCCAGAAAGTCACTCATCCCTCTGGGCTCCGAGTCTTCATAAATGAAACAGGGACAATGAAAAGTGCTGTCGTGAGGCTTAAATAAGACAGTGGGGCTGAGGGCCTGAGAGCTACAGGGCTGTGACAATGGCAATTCTTTTTCACTTTTAGAGTCACAGTGGCAGGACTAGCTTTTCTCTTTTTTTTTTTTTTTAAATGTTCCTCTTCTATTCTTCAAGCTGCTTTTTTTTTTTTTTTTTTAGATTTTATTTATTTATTTATTTATACAAGCACTGGGCACAGTCAGAAGTGCGGGAAGGTGAGAGAATTCACCAGAGCCAGAGTGGGGAGTAGAACAGGTAGATGACAAAATACACTGCTGAGGGGAGCAGCGGAAGTGGCAGGAGAGGTCTGTTGCACCATGTGGGACCCTCACTGGCGACCAGGGATTGAACTGGTGCTGCAGAGACCGCAGGCAGCTTTGCAGCCCAGTGCTCAACCGCTGTGCCACCAGGGGAGGCAAGACTACTGGTCTTGTCCTCAATAAGAAAACTGAAATGATCCCTTATCTTATGCATATTGCATATCTCATGCATATTTTAGAGGCCAGCACTTCGCCCCTTCACACTCCCCTTCCCACCACAAACATTCAGAATTACAATGTCTAGAAAGCATCAGGGAAGACTTTGGGGTGAGGGTCCTGGTGATATCACATCACTTGTGGTGCAGATAATTACACACCATTATTCTTACTCACTTGGCACAGGTACAGTCAGGAGGGACCAATCTTATGGGGGATTGTGGTTGTCCTGTAACCTAAGGCTCAGCATCTACATAAACAGCCAGAATACCCAAGACTCATGGGGTTTCATCTGTCAATTACATTTCAATTTTTAAAAAAAAACAAACAAAAGTTAACGGACATGACTCATTTCATTAGTGAAGCCACATCCGTGACTGAGCTAACAGACAGCACAATTGATTGGGCAGTACTAGAACCACCTTCGGGGACTTTAGACGGGACTCATGGGGTCCCCAGGGATGTGTACCCAGACCCCACCCAGCTCTCCTCGGAAGAGAGCTCTCCCTTCTCAGCAAAATCAAAACCAAATGGCGTGGGGCCTAGTCAAATACGTTATAGAATATAGTGCAAGCCTCGTTAGAATGGAACTGGAGAGAGGTGGTGGTGGGATGTTATGAATGTACCAAATGCTGCAAAATTGTTCACCTTAAAAGGGCAAATTTTATGTAGTGTGCATTTCACCTCAGTAAAGACAGAAAGAGAACTTGCTGCTAAATATTTAGACAAAAATTCCATCTGGAAGCAATTTACTTGGACTTTAAGAAAATGACTCGTCCCTACAGAATTCAGAACAGAGGACTTATGAGCCCAGAATCAAGGGAAAAATGTAAATATTGATCCTAAATATTTTTAAAAGGGAGAAAGCAAAACACAGGGAAAGTATAATATGAAAATAAATAACACCAGATGTGAATTTATCAATAGTCCCAATATAGGATTAAATGTGTCAGCTCAAAGAGAATGTCAGGTTGCAGTGACACAGTTCAACTCCTGTGCTATCAGTGGAGAACACACCTAAATCGTGAACGGCTGGGAAGGGAAGAGGGAGAGATAGCTCAGCCAAATACGAGCCAAAGAATGCCACTGAAGCTGTATTTATAGCAGAGGGTCTTTAAGACAAAGAGCATCATTCAAGACAGTCTCCGCACATGATGAAAGGTGGAAGTCACCAAAACAATAGAACCATTCTCAACCATTCTCATAATCGACATTATTAAATAGACACACAGATTGATAGTCCCGCAGGACTAAACTGACCATGGAGCTGGGGTGAAAGCACACCGATCCATAAGTTCAAGTAGCTAATTCAGCAAAATATAAAAGAGTAGGATATCACAGTTAAAACTTTCATTTGATAGACATGGGGAAATATTTATAATATACTCAATAGGACTACAAAAGATGTGTTGACTTAAGGGAAAGTTGGCACATGGATCTAATTGGTTCCCCAAACTCCAGTAATTTAGCTGTGATTATGGAAAAGTATGGTCCAGTCTTAAAGAAACTTTCTGCCATGCAATGGCCAATAAGAAGCAAAAATGAAAATATATAAGAGAAAAAATTTTTTAAAGCCTCCATCTCTCCTCTCTGAGTTTGCACAGTGAGTTTATCTGCTAAGCATTTTTTGAATTGCAAGAATAATGTCTACTGTAGTTTCGTACTCTGGAGTTTTGTTTTGTCATTTTTTTTACAGTAAATTTTTTTTGGCATTGAAGTGCTGCCCAGCCCTTGAGTTTCTCCTCCTTCAGCCAGACATCAAAAACCTCTAAACATAAACACATGTCAGTGAGACACTAGCAGATCAACACACCCAGAAAACCAGAATTTCTTGCACACTCAGCCTGCGCCACACCCTACATACTGTTTTCTATTCCTGCGCAGCTAAAGGCATTTCCTTTGGCTAAGGTGTCGCTTGTGGTAAAATCAGAGGCAACTTCTATCCCTGGATTTCCGGAGACTTCCCCTCTTGAAAGTCATCACAGGGCTTTACCCACTGTGAAAATCCATAACTTCCTCCTTATTTTCTCATTAGCAGCTGGTTTCCCTGGGCTGTTACTGGAGAACTTTCTTTCTTTTTTTTAAAGACTTATTTATTTATTTATACAAGCACTGGGTACAGTCAGAAGCGCGGGAGGGTGAGAGAACTCACCAGAGCCAGAGCGGGGAATAGAACGGGCAGACTGACAAAGAAATACACTGCTGAGGGGAGCAGCGGGCGCGGCAGGAGAGGTCTGTCGTGCCATGTGGGACCCTCGTCAGAGGCCAGGGATGGAACCGGCGCTGCAGAAGCTGCAGGCAGCCCCGCAGCCCAGCGCTCAACCGCTCAACCAGGGGAGGCCCACTGGAGAACTTTCCACAAGTCTTACTTACCTCATAGGATTTCCCTCCACAGCAGACTAGGTCTGAGATAGGCTTCACGGAATGGAGAGAAGAAAGGACAGGAAAGGCTCCTGCTTACTGACAGAGAGCCATGATAGGAAGGAGCCTGACAGGTAACCAGAAGAAGTGCTGCTGGCTGGCTTCTGCTGCCTGGCTTCTGCTGCCCTGCTGTGCAGAAGAGAAGCACAATTACCACGGGTTTTTTTGGCTCCACCCCAATAACAGTTTTTTGCTTTCTGTTTCCTTCTTCATACAGATCCGAACAATTCTCCTCTGCGGTGAGATCTCAAAGATATTTTCAGTATAGGGAAATTGAAAGCCAAGAGATTCTTTTGCCAAGAAGACAGGGTTGTGATGGTGGCTTCGAGAAGGGCAGCAGCACGGGCACCTCCCACTGGCAGCAGTGGAGGACCCTCAGACTACACGGTGGGGTCTCCTGTAAAATCCAGGGGTGAGTGAATGAGTAATGCCTAGGTTAGGGCCACCTGCCCCAGGTGTGCCCCCTGGGACAGCAAAGCTCCAGGCAAGAAAAATTTCCAGAAAAAAGTTAAAGTTGACACTGTGGCCAAGTTTCAGGAAAAGTTGGTGTTGAGAAAATTAGACAAAGGACAACGATGTGTCAATGGTGTGTGGTCTCCCACTAGAGCCCCCAGACCCCAAAACATTCCATTTATTCTTAGCAACTCACCATAGAAGACAGTGGACACCTTGTCTCCTATGGTGAAGATGACTCTGTTGGGGGACACATCACATCACCCCATGGTGCGTTCACTAGGTTGCTGAGCCTGCATTGACCTGCCAGAGCCCAGGACTTTGTGGGGGCACACAGTGTGGGGGTTTTTATAGCTCTCTCCATGGAAGTTAGTCTCAGCCCACAGGAACTTGCAGAATGTTCTTTATTAACCACCAAGATCTTAAGTATAAAGATATCTTGCTGGGCCTGCAGTGAGGTCGTCTCTACAGGGGGGCAAGTATTCTGCCTGGAGGTTGGCACAGTCTCTGGTGTTATCCAAGGGGAAACACAATCTAAAATTGGGAGAATCGCTTTGGAAAGCAATAAGATACAGCCTGGTGAAGTCAACTAGGGTAGATCAGCAATCTTATTCCCAAGTACAAGCCCTCAAATAACAAGGTCTCATTATGAGGTTGATTAGAAAAACACAATCCAGCTAGAATGAAGCCACCTTATCAGAGGAACAGCTCTCCTCCATCGCTTGCCTTAAAGTCAGTTTCCAAGGGTGTCCTTGACAATGTTAAGAGAAGATTTACTGTATGTGATGAGAAAACTCGTGCACCATGAGATACAAGACTGAGTAAGGGTGAATTCTCCCTGTCTGCCTTGCTTCCTGTGTGTCTACTGACCACCTACCCTGCTCCCAAGTCTGGATCTATCTCGCTTTCCTGGTGCTCTCCTGGTTCTCAGGCCTTCAGACTTGGACTGGACCCCTTCTGGTAGCTCTCCTGGGTCTGCACTTTTCAGCCTACAAAATCACATGAGCTGATTCCTTATTCTCTCTCCCTGAAGAAGCACACACAAATACATACACAAGCACACACATGCACATGCACATACACACACATTACAACTTCTATCTCTCTGGAGAACCGTAACTAATGATATCCCCAGGGAACCCTCACCCCCACTTCCTCCAACTGCTAAGAGTACAGGGGTGCAGGTCAGACACTGAGCAGCCCCCCATTCTGCTCTGCCATGTTCCTACATGACTGCACCCACCCTGGGAGAGGAGACGGGGCCTGTCTAGAATCCTGTTTCTCTTTTCTTGACCTCCATTAACCTTCCACCTCCATTAACTTGGTTGCCTCCACTGCAACCACTTTCTTTTCTCCATGTGAAACAATACAAACACTTCACGCTCTGCCAACAGCCTTGTGCCACTGCAGCAAGTTCATCAATAACCTTGTTTGGACAGCTTCTTGATTCATCTACTAGCCCCTCCTGACTTCATTCCTTGCTCATGCAGCTTCACTGCTCTGGTCTCCACCCTGAGCCTCCATGTTTCTCACCCCAAAACACCAGCCCTGGCCTGAACCTCATCTTTTCTTCAAGTCCACAACCCTCCCCAATTACTCAGTTGTCAGCTTTTTCCACATTTGAACAGGGTTGCTGATCACAGCTGAAAACACACAAACTATAAATCAGGTGAAAGTAGACTATTAAAAAGTTCATGTGTAGCAGACAAGACTTCTGAGGAGTCAGCTTGGAAAGTATGAAGAAACACATACTTTAATGAAATAAGCTACAAGAGAAGAAGTTGGGGTAAAGAGACAATAGACAAATGTAAGGGATTGTTAAATCAGACTTCTCTTCATGTGAACAGTTTTGGTCTCTATGTAATCTATACTTTCTGCACTATAGCTAATAATCTATCTCCTATTCATGTCATTGCATGTCATTTTATTTCTCTTATTTCATATACTGATCATGGATGAAGTTCACAGACAATACATTGAAATGGGAAAATGCAGTAATTAACCAAAATCAAATCAGAAAAGAACACGTTGTCTCCTGATTTGAAGAACAAAGTAAAATATTATCTGAAAAATGAAACACTTCATACAAGATCACTGGCTTTCTAGAGAATAAAGATTTTAGATTTTGCATAGGAAAGTAAAAATCAAAATCAACAAGCAACTATAAACCAGAGACACACTACGGGGGGTGGGGGTGGGGAAGGAGGGATTACGATCAAAATAAGGGGGGTGGGAATTGTATGGGGACTATAACCAAGATGAAAATGCATACATGGTGCAAAAATGAAAAATGATGTAAAAAATATATAAAATAAAAATAAAATAAATAGCCTTTAAAAAAAAAATAAACTGGTGATGTTGGACACATGGTCCAGCAGGTGGCGCCCTGCACCAATAAATGAGAACTCTGGAGGGCAGGCTCACCTGTATTTTAAGAATTAAAATTGCCTCTGTGAAATATATATTTACACACTAAAGAGATTGTGGAATCCATGTACTCTATAAAACACACATACACGTGAACATAGACACATTTCTCCACTAGGGATCGGAGTCAACAACAGCATATTATGAAGACAAGCATTAATGAGCTGGTCATATAAATATATATGTATTTATGTTTGCAAATTGAATATCCTTCTCATAGACAATTCATCACTTCCAAGTGGGTCTTTAACACTGCCTAGCAGATATTTCACTATATTACCTCTGCTATACTATCATTCTTTCTTCACAATAACTAATCCAACCTTCAAAGCTCTCTTTAAATATTCAACATCCTCTTTCCCACAGTTGTTCCCTGAAGATGACATGGCTGCTTACTTTCAAAGGGGGAAGGAGGGAGGAAAGGAAAGGAGGAGGCGTGCAGAGAGGAGGGGGGTGATAAATGTGATCTCTTCACCAGGACTCTGTAGCCTACTTCCCTCCACCTTGGAAACCTTGCCTCCTCTGCCCAGCCCCACACGCATATCCCAGCTCCCCTTCCCCATACCTTCATTCCTAAGGGTTTTCAAATAAACTCGCACCTCTCTTATTAAAAATAAGTACAGTTGCTCAACGGATTTGGGTCGTGAGGGTTCATGATACTGCTGTGGTCGTGTTTATGCTTAGATTTTCCATAATTTAAAGAAAGATTTATTTATTTATTTACACAAGCACTGGGTACAGTCAGAAGCGCGGGAGGGTGAGAGAATTCACCAGAGCCAGAGCGGGGGAGCAGAGCAGGCAGAAGGACCGAAGTACACTGCTGAGGGGAGCAGCGGGCGGCAGGAGAGGTCTGCGCGCCATGTGGGACCCTCCTCCAGTGGCCGGGGAGCAGCCGGGGATTGAACCGGCGCTGCAGAGGCTGCGGGCAGCTTCACAACCCAGCGCTCAACCGCTGTGCTACCGGGGAGACCCTCCATAATTTAAAGTTTTAAAATAGGGCCTCCCTGGTGGCGCAGTGGTTGAGCGCTGGGTGCTGCGGCACCCGTTCGATCCCTGGCTGCTCCCCGCGGAGGAGGGTCCCGCATGGCGCGCAGACCTCTCCTGCCGCCCGCTGCTCCCCTCAGCAGTGTACTTCGGTCCTTCTGCCTGCTCTGCTCCCCGCTCTGGCTCTGGTGAATTCTCTCACCCTCCCGCGCTTCTGACTGTACCCAGTGCTTGTATAAACAAAAAACAAACAAACAAATAAATAAATAAAACATGCCTCTATTTAAAAAAATAAATAAATAAATAAAATAGAGTTTTAAAATAGGAAAAGCTCCTGCCTTAAGTCCTGCCCTCTCCTCCACCCTTCGCCTCCCTGTCTCATCTTCCTCCCACACTCCAGAGCTCTTGCCCTTGTGCCATTTAGACCCTGAAACAGCTCTCACCACTGATCTAACAGTTGATTTTTTTTTTAGATTTTTTTATTTTAACATTTATCATTTTTTACATTTTTAGGCAATATTTGCTTCCCCCCACCCCCTCAGATTGAGTCCCCATAGAATCTCCTTCCCCAAGGCACCCGTGCACCATCACCACAATCCCCAGTGCTCCTCCCTCCCTCCCTCTGATCCCTCTCCCGCCTCTTCCCCTGCAGTAGTCTCTGGTTTATAATTGTCTGTTTTTGCTTTGTTGTGCTTTGTGCTGTTGTTATTATTTTTACACTGATGTCTTATTGGGTTCCTCTATATTCCTGTTATAAGTGAAACCATCCGATATTTTTCTTTTTCCTTCTGGCTTATTTCACTGAGCATAATTCCTTCTAGCTCCATCCATGTTGCTAACAGCTGATTTTTAAGCCTAATCATTCTTGATTTCTCAGTAGCCCGTGCTGCTCATACAGTCCCTTCTGGAACGTTTCTGGCCTTGGCTTCAGGAAAGATAACCTCGCGGTTTCCCTCTTGCCTCTGTTGCTGCTGTGCCTCTCCCTTGCCCAGACGTTAGGGCTTTCCCAGCTCATTCCTAGGCCCATCTTCTCTGTCTCCTCAGGGAGCTCATTCATACTTTTGGCTTTGAATTCCACCTGCCCAGGTGAATCCCAAATCAAATCATCATTCAGACCCCGACCCAGCTCTCAACTTCATCTGTACATGACCTCCCTCCTCTTGGAATTCTCAAATATATAGTGAAATATCTCAACATTAAAGCTCAATGCTGGACTGGCCATTTCTCCTGAATCTGATCTTCTTCCCATGTT